TTCTCCGCTCCTTCCCCCCCCAAAGAAAAAACCCCCCCCCCCCAAGCAAAAATCTCCCCTTCCTTCCTCAAGGAAATGTCATCATCTTTAAACATAAGTCCTCCCCAGAGAAAAAAAATTCCCCCAGTGCAAATCTCTCCCTTTCCCAATCAAAAATCCTCCCTCCTCAAAAAGTCTCCCCTTTGCCAAACAAAAATCCTCTCCCAGTAAAATATGCCTCCGCAGCACAAAAGTCCCCCTCCTAGGCATAAAGCCCAAGCACAAATATACCACCCTCCCACACACAATCACCCCTAGCACAAACATCCATTCTCCTTTCTTATCCACCTACCAAGCACTCCAGCAGACCACAGATTCAGGCAACACCCACCGAGAGTGTCCTCCCAGACTTCGGCTGTGCCATATAACACATTAAAGCCCATGAAAAGTCTAGGATGTCCCTCGGCTTTGCATCGCTCCTTTGTATCTGAGGTCTGTCAGGGACCTTCACTTGCTGTCTGGGTTTTCATAAGGGATATTCACTTGCTGAATTTGTCCTGGTGATCACTGTCACTGGGATTGAATGTGCAGGTAAAAAAAAAAACTGAGGGTCCGTTCACACCAGCTGCAGTGCGTTCCGGCCCGATTCTGGCCGGAACGCACTGCCTTGCACTGCGGCCGGCTCACTTTTTAGTGGGGCAGGAGGGGGTGCGATCAAAATGCTGCAAGTGCTATTTTCATCGCACCGGAGCAGTCCGCAGGCACATCGTGCCTTGCGATCCTGTGCGGGCGATCGGATTGCAGCCGGAGGGCGTGGCTACAGTGCCATTCACTTCAATGGCCCGCCATGCCCCCTCCTGCCCCACTAAAAAGTGAGCCAGCCCCAATGCGAGGCAGTGCGTTCTGGCCAGAATCGGGCCGGAACACACTGCAACTGGTGTGAACGGGCCCTCAATGATGTGTTATGAGGAATAGAAGGGCATTCATCCAATGGGGATACTTCTTGTGGGGACAACAGTTTAAGAGGGCATTTCCTTCTTTCTTTGGAAAGAATTCCACTCACTTTTTTTTGTGTCTACAGAACAAGAATTTAAAGGAAATCTCCCTGATGCCACACAGATGGCAAAAAAAACTTACAATGGATTTTTTACCATTTCCTACTGGGGTTGTCTTTAGATACATGTTAACTAGGGTTGCACAGATACCAAGTACAGTACTCGGTACAAGTACGAGTACATGTACCGATACTTTTGAGCTCCAAGACTAGACTAGAGAAAAATTCAAAAGTTAGGAGGCAGCTGCCATTTGTAAGGAGCATACGGAGCTCCTGGGATTTGTACATCTCTGTTTTAGGGTATGATTTTGTTTTTATAAATATAAATAAAGGGATGCACAGATACCAGTTTTGCGAGTACGAGTACTGGTACTTGCCGAGTACTTACAAGTACAAGTACTGATACATTTCTGTTTATTGTCATGTGACAGTTTTTTCTAAAACAATACAGACTAAGGATTTCAGGACAGTGGTGGAGTGCCAGAGCCAGGTGCCAGGTCCCAGCTGCAACCGCTGCAACCCTGGCAGTTCTCATGAAAATGCCAAGTATCTGCACTGGTACTCGAAAAGTATCTGTGCATCCCTAATGTTAACCTTATGTCTTCAATACTTTTTTGAGTCAGTGACCATGTCCACTCATAGAAAAGTGGGCCAAACACTTGCGATAAGAGGACACACCAGGGATCATGGTCCCTCTCTCTTATCCATATGGTATAAG